TTGATGCTGACCGCTGTGCAGCGGGAAGTTGATCTGCCTTACATGTAGCAAAAATGTTGAGCCAGGCTGATTTCCTTTCAGTTGTCAAAGCATCCTGTCGCAAGTGTAAACCGTATCGTCGCTCGAACTGCACCCACGTGCGGTTTCCATTTCGCTCCGTCCGATCCCGACTTCCCTCCCAATCGGAGGAACAAATCATTCCATCTCGTGCTCGTGCTTGCTCGCAACTCTTTTCGCTGTTCGTCCCATTGCGGGCATTGGAAGAGGAAATGCTCCACCGTTTCCCTCGCGTGCCCGCATGCGCATTGTTCAGTAGTCACTGCCTTGATGCGGTGGAGATAGCTATTCAGTTTTGCCATGCCTGTTCTCAATTGGGCAAGCGCTGAGCGCTCCCTCCATGACCATTCCTCGTAAATATCACGTGTGTGGCTCCCAGGAAGAGCGGCATCTTGGAGAACTTTCCTACGTCTGCAGGCAAACACCGTTCACCTTCAAGTTTTCTTCGTTCAATGTTCAAAGTCGTGGACTTCATCAGCGGAAACTGAGCCTCGGGTGCCGTGCCTTGCTGTGTTGCAGTCTTTGCTTGTATCTTGGCCGCTTGCCACAGTTTGTTCTTATCCGATGAATCCCAGCCTATAGCAATGGTGCTTGCCTTGCCAATCAGCTGATCTACTGAGTCGTAGATGCGTTTGATGAACTCTTGCCCTGATTGCTGATACGGCCGACTCAGGGCAGCCACCGCTCCCTTGTTGCGCGTGAAGAGGGCGATATTTTGATGCTCGCTGTGCGGCAGATTACGCAACGCATACGCCATGGCCGCCAATTCGCCTGAGAATGGGTTCTGTTCTGTTCGCGCTCCCAGGGTGAAGGAGAAAACCTGCATCCACTACACTTAGGTACAAGATGTACTACATCCACTTCGTAATTGCCTGATATGTAGTACACCCACTCACCGGTATCGATCATTTTAGGCAATGTCTTCTGATACAATCAGCTGACTACCATCCCGCCGCCCTAGGACCCCGACTCCCTAAGCCGTGCCGCTCCAACCAACCAGATCCCAGCCATGAGGTTCAGCTCGATGTCTCTGGCCTCAGCCACTAAGCTCATTGACTCGTACAAGACTCGCCTTTTGCTCGGCCGGTGAACACTGGCCGACAACTTGGGCTGGTCTGGAGCGGCGCAGTACGAGATCGAGCATGTGCTGTTCACCAGAGGCTCCTCTACTGATGATACCCTCCATTACAGGATATGACTGCAACACACCACTACGCGCAGTGTCATGATCTAGGCTGGTGCAGTGACTAGACGGGATGACCTTTGAATGACGAGCGCGTCCGCATGTTTACCTGGTATCCCTACATATGGCTCGTCTTATCTGCCACATTGAGCTACCATATAGACGTTAAATAATTACATAACATAATATAACATAACTCATCTGCCACACTTTCTGTCCCTATCTTAGGTTACTTTTCATCATTTTTGCTCAGTCTTGACAGTTGCGAGATGGACAAAAAGTACATGACTTTCCAACCCTCCGTCGTGGAGAGGGCGGGCATCTCGATATTCCACTTCATCAACAAGTACGTTCCTTGGTTCAAGCTTCCCACTATCATTGGAGCCTTCAACCTCGCCTTCCTACGTATTGAGCTTCGAGGCTATAACCTTCACGACGGCTATGCAGATGCATCTTACCAGGGCAACGAGGACAGTGAGCCGTTGAAGGACGACCGTTACTTGACCGCTCGCCACTCTGATGGAAAGTTCAATGAGCTCAAGATGCCGCGCATGGGCTGCACGGGAATGCGTTTTGGTCGAAACTTTCCCCGAGAGCACACACAAAAACCAACTGAAGAGGAATTGTGGACGCCTAACCCGCGATACATTAGTGAGCAGTTCATGGCTCGCAAGGAGGGCGATTTCAAGCCCGCAACCACGCTCAACCTTCTTGCTGCTGCTTGGATCCAATTTCAGACTCATGATTGGTTTAACCACGAGATTGATCATGTAAGTGTAAGGATGAAAAATCCCTTGTTAGGCAGATTGCTAACATTCAAAGGGTGGTGAATCGTTTGACGTACCTTTGCGTAATGGAGATGAATGGGAGGGTCACATGATGCTTCCCAAGACCAAGCCAGATGCCACGCTGCATCCGTCCGACTTGAAATGCCCTGGTTACAAGAACATCAACACAGCATGGTGGGACGGATCACAGATATACGGGTCCAACGAGGAGCTGACAAACATGTTGCGAAATGATCTTCCCGATGGAAAGCTGCGTCTGAATGCGAACAGCACTGGTGCCTTCATCCCTCGTGGTGAAGACGGAAACCCTCTCACAGGCTTCAACGACAACTGGTGGGTCGGTATGGAGATGTTGCACACGTTGTTTGCCCTGGAACACAATTCTCTTTGCGATATGTTCAAGAAGGAGTATCCAGATTGGACTGGGTAAGTTCAGTATCTCCCTCCTGAATAGAAGAGCGCTAACTTCTGATTGTAGTGACCAAATTTTTGACAAGGCCCGGCTGGTAAACAGCGCCTTAATGGCCAAGATTCACACGGTCGAGTGGACGCCGGCCATCCTCGCCCACCCCATCTTGGAGTTTGGAATGAATACCAACTGGTGGGGGGTCGTGGGAGAGAAACTCACTAGGCTCCTCGGCAGAGTCTCCAAGGACAGCGAGATCATCTCGGGCATCCCAGGCTCAGGGGTTGATCATGACAGGATCCCCTACAGTCTGACCGAGGAGTTCGTGTCGGTGTACCGAATGCACTCTCTGGTGCCTGGTAAGTTGTGTTCCGCGGTCATCTCTTAATGCGTGTTCGTTGGAACTGTGGTGCTGACAATCACGTAGACAAGATCGCTTTCTTCGAGGCCAAGGAGGGCAAGCACCAAGCAACGATACCTATTGTGAATCTGACCTTCAAGGATGCACAGAAGCCGCTGGACCAAGGACTCTCGTTTGGTGACCTGTTTTACTCCTTTGGTATAAACTATCCCGGAGCCATCACCAACAATAACTACCCCAACTTCCTGCGAGACCTGCACACCCCCGAGGGTCTCCACCGGGATATGGGAACCGTAGACATCCTGCGAGATCGCGAGCGAGGCGTCCCTCGGTATTGTGCCTTCCGCCGCATGCTTCGCATGAAGGTACCGGCAACGTTTGAGGAACTCACAGGCGGTAATAAAGAGCTTGCTGCGAGGCTCTCGGAGGCGTACAATGGGAAGCTTAAGGCCGTGGATGTCCTGGTCGGTTCCCACAGCGAGCCATTGATCCCCGGCTTTGGCTTCAGCGAAACAGCTTTCCGCATCTTCATCGTCATGGCATCGCGTCGTCTTACGAGTGACCGATTCATCGCCGGACAGTGGAACAAGGCGACATACACCAAGCAAGGTCTGCATTGGGTGCAGTGCTCGACAATGAAGGACGTCCTGATTAGACACTTCCCGGGGCTGGGAGAGACACTAAAACATAGTAAGAATGCGTTTGCGCCATGGGTGAAGAAGGAGGGGTCGAAGGGGTATGATGGGATAGAGACGAATGCGAAGTAGATTCCTAGCTAGAAATTCTCTCGTGTTAATGCTTTGTATGTAGTTCAATGAGTTGGGAGACTTGTTTAAGAAGAATTAATTTATGGGTTCAGATGAATACGGAAGAATCTCCCCGAGTACCTCAAGGCCCAATCACAGCCGGCCCACAACTAATAGGCCGCATTGCTTTGTATTTCCATACGTATGGACATGATGTCTATATTACCGTGCCGATTCTGCCACAACAGATCGTTCAACGCATCTCTCATTGCACCCTTCGCAGAACTTTGTCATTAAGCAGAACAGCGCTGCCCTCAAATCAAATCACATGAAACAAACTGCCAAACAAATCAAACAAATCAATGCCAAAATCTTATCAAACAAACAAATACATAGTTTCCGATTTGATTTGCGTTTGATACATTTGATTTAACCTTGTTTTTATTCGGCCTCTGCCCGCATGGGAGGCCGTAGAAAGCAACCCTACCCTGGACATCAGCTTGGTTGATAGAAACATAAAATTACACCAGTGGCTCGCCGGTCGACCCGCGGGCTACGTAGTCTTCAGCGACGGCTCCAAAACAGACACGGACACGGCGGGATACGGCTTCACCGTATTTCACCATGGACAACTTCTGGATTGGGGCTCCGGACAGCTGGGACGGCGAGAAGTGTTCGACGCCGAGATACACGGCGCGCGTTCGACGAGATGTAGAACTTGTGGGATTGAACCACATGCTAGAGGCACACATCCTCAGTATCATCTTTTCTTTTTTTTTGGTACTTGATTCCGGTGCGAACTCTGTTTCACCGGGTAGGCTAGCCTCCGACTCCCCATCAGTATGCACTTGCTCGATTGTCCCAGGTGGGGGGGAAACTAGATATTGTCAGCGTTTTCAGGGCAGCGAAGCTAAGGATCGGTGTCTTACCGAGATCTAACGTGCGGTGGATATCTAGTTGCTTGAGGTCGTCTTTTGCGCCCTCTAGAGCAGCGAGCTTCTCGTTATACCGAATCCTTTGTAGCATCATTGCGTGACTCTCTGTTGCAATATGAGCTATTTCGTCATCTCGCAGGTCCAATATGGTCTCTGATGGAAATAAGGCCGGCAGTCTGCTGATCAGACATTGCTCCACGGCCAGCAGACTAATATCGTCGATGAACTTCTTACTTGCGAGCTTTGGCATGTGTCAGCAAGCTGATACACCTCGAGTAGATGGCCCATGGACAAGTCCTTAGTAGTATACTGACCTTATAAAAGCCATGTCCAGACAGTATATAGGGTGGAAACTTCGCGCATAAAAGCTATAAAGCCTCTTAAATATATATAATAATAGTTATATATATTTATTTAGTCTTTCCACATATAAAAATTTTATAAAATATAGCTAGATAGAACTAGTATATAAAATTATAATTAGAGCTATTTATAGAGTACTTTAGCTAAGTATTAGGCTATTAAAGTAAAGCTTATTTATATAATACTAAGTAATATGTCTTTAGTCTATAACTAACAGCCTCTAAGAAAGGTATTAGGATACTACGGCTCCTATTTTATTACTATTATATAATCTAGTGTATTTCTATTATATATATCCTTTATTATTATTATTAGACCTTTCTTACTATAAAGAAACTTAAAAGCCTCTTTTATAAGTAAACCATAGATAATATAATAATATAATATTAATTAGGTATTATTATCTATAGCTTAAAGATCTACCTTAAATCTAGCTAATATTTAAAGAATCTTTACCTATACCTAAATAACTAACTTAGTATATAAGTAAGCTAAATTTAGTCTACTAGTATAAGTCTTAAACTTAGTATTAGAACTACTATAAAGAAGTAGTTATACTACTTTAGTAGTGTTATTAGTACCCTATAAGAAAGCGCTAAGATAGTAAGCTAGTAGTAACATTTTATTATTATCTAATTTATTATACTTAACTCCTAACTTAAGGAGATATTATATAGCTACCTTATCTATAGGTTTTCCCCTAATAAAAAGATAATATAAGGTATTATACCTATTAAGATCTTATAATACTACTAGTAAGAGAGTACCTATATAACTAGCTAAATTATTAGTAAGTAGCTATAAGATAAAACTAGTATTTTAACTCTTTATAGTATAATATAGATAGTTAATACTATTATAGTTAGTTATACTAATATCTAAGCTATAAACTAAGAAGGTAATAATAGAGGATATATCTCCTTTTAAGTAAGCTAAGTAAAGAGGTGTCTAGCTACGGTTATTATAAGTAAAGGTTTCTACTCCCCTTTAAATAAGCTTTTTAATAATATTAGAAGATATACTATAGCTATACCTTATATTATATAAGGCGGCCACACTATCATTATCTTAAGCGTTAACGTCTATTTAGGTGTCGCCTAAAAGTAACGTAAGAACGTCCGCCTTATACTCCTTAATAATATTTCGCGTTCTATAATATTCTCTATCATCCTTAATAAGCTTAAGGATATATTCCACTCTATACGTAGAATTATTCTACTAATCTAAAGACGCCGGCTACCTAGTACTAGCTAGGTCTCGTTTTATAGCTAGATAAAGAGGTGTCTCCCTAAACTCTAATATAGTGTTAGGATTAGCCTCTTACTAGAGAAGAAACTTAGTTATCTAAGGATATCCTATTAAAGCGGAATAATATAAAGTAGTAAGTCCTCTTTAACTCTCCTCTTAAACTAACACGTCTTATAATCTATTAGTCACTTAGTCTAGTCACTACTAAGCCTATCTTATTACTAAAACATTAATATATACTCTTATATTAAGAAGACATTAAGCTAGTTTTTTACTACTTTTTAATATAGTATAGTATATAGGGGTTATATTATCTATATCTATAGCTATTAATATCCTATATTAAAGTAATAGCTATATAATAGTCTTATTTCCTTTTTTAGCTATTTATAGTAGTTATATATCTCGTAATGTTAGCGCTTTTATAGATTAGTAGCTAGCTAACGTAGAAGGTTTATAGAATTAGTAATTATATAGTTCTCCTACTCCCCTAAGGAATACTCTAGAAATAAGTGCTATAGAAAGTGATTATATAGCTCCTAAGCGCTTACGTTATATAAGCGCCTTATACTTCCCCTCTTATAATAAATAAGTAAGCTACCTTAGTTAAACTTCTTAGTAGTTAAATATTTATAGTATACTCTAAAAAGATTATTATTTACTTCCTCTTCTATTATATAATACTATATATAGAATATATACTTATTAAATAAGAAATCTTTTATAGATTAATAATAGAAGTTAAAGGTTAGATCGTCCTAGAACCTATATAGAGAATTAAGCTATAGACTATTATAATATTATTATAGACTAATAAGTTTTTACTGCTCTATATTAAGCCGGTTTTCTAGGTTATAAAGGCTATTTTAATCTTATCTTTCTTTAATAGACACTAGCTTATAATTATATAATATAAGATAAATTAGGCATAACTTTAATTATAAAGTTCCATATAGTCTAATATAGCTATATATATATTATAAAGTCCTTAAGGTAAGCGCTTAAGTATAATATCTATATCTAGTATTTATACTTCTAGCTATCCTAACTTAGTAATTATAAGAGATACCTAAAGGAAAGTACTACTAACTTACTATATTAATATATCCCTTACTTTTTCTTTAAGTTTTAATAGGTATCCTTTTTTTATTAAAAGCTCCTTAACCTTTATACTAATATATTTAGATAGGTTATTATTTATATCTATAAAGTTAACTTATAGAGATATACTAATACTTCTTAACTTATTTTTAATATTATCTATATTAGGTCTATATATAATAAGAAGCTTAACTTTTCCTTTTCTTAATAATTTATCTAAGATTAACTTAAATAATACTACTAGTAAGGAAAGTAAATCTTAGTAAGTTAAAGTCTTATACTTATTTAGGGTATTTATAAGGATAAAGGTCTCCTCTACGCTTATATCTTAAAGTATAAGCTTAAATATCTATTATAAAGCTAAGAAATTATTAAAAAGTGTTTAAGAAGTACTACCTTACGCTTATTTCTTAAAATCTAACTATATATACTAGTAGAGCTTATTTCTCTAGAGTAATAGCTACTAGATAAGGCTTTAAAGTATAGTAGTTAGCTTCCTCTAATTATAGTCTTTATTATTATAGAAAAAGTAGGTAAACCTCTTAGTTAAAGACTTTTTAATCTTTAGTTTAAGCTACTCTATAAGAAAAGTTATTATTATTATCTTCTTTATACTAGGAGACTTAATAAGGTAAAAAAACTATAATTCCTCTTATAAGGCCTAGATATAGAATTCCTTTTATTTAAGAATCTACTTATAAGTATAGCCTACCCTTTTACCCTTTTACCTCTTAATATTAGATAAAATATCCTCTAGGTTTCTAACTATTATCTCCTAAAGGTATTTCTTAAGATCACTAGAGGTAGAACTTTTATTTATTAGAATAGCTTTTAGGTTTTAATAATAATAAAGTATCTTATTAGTACCTTAAGCTATCTAAAGTATTATAAGATAGAGAAGCTTAAATAATAGGTCCTTAGAACTATAGAACTTATTTATTTTAAAATAGTCTATATAAAGAGATATCTTATAGTAGCTATTAATATAAGCACTTACTTCTAGTATAACCTAAAAAGACGTTAGTTAGGGAGATAATATAGATAATTAAGATATAAACTAACTCCTTAACTCTAATTCTTCTTCTAAAGAATCCTCTATAAGGTATATACTCTAACTTAAGCTACTTAAAAGTGTAGATAACTAGTACTAAGTAGGTAAATAACTACTAGGAAAAATTATCTAGCTAATCTACTAAAGTATTATAATTCTCCTCTAGGGCTTTTAATAATCTATCTTCTATATTACTAATACTTAATATTAGCTATATAACTTATTTACCCTATCCTATAGCCTAACTTCCTTAATAAGGCGTACCTAAGAAAACTACACTAATAGTATACTTAGTAATAGGTAGATATTCTAAGTTATGCCTAGAGGTAGTAATAATAGCCTTTTTTAGAAGTTAATAAGCTAAAGAAAGGCTAATTTTAGCTTATATCTATATACCTACTTAATAAGGTTACCCCTAAAGCTATAACTAATAAAGATTATTAGCTTACTACTAACTAGTTCCTAATAATACTTAATAGGGTTAAACCTTTCTTAGATTACTATAGACTTACCTAATTATAGCTATTTTAAAGGCTATCTAGAAGAATATTAGATATATTTAAGAGCCACTATTAAGGCGTATTAGAGAGCTAAGCTAAGTTATAATTAAAAGCTAAAACTTAGTAAGTTAATTTAGCTAGAAGAAGTTACTATAACTAATTAAATAGTATATTAGGATATCTTAGGTAATTACTAGGGTTATTTTTAGGTAGCTAGACCTATATATAATCTAGATTTACACCTAGCCTATAGATAGTGATGATATTAAAATGTGAATAGTAAGTGTCCTATTTAAGGACGTTTGTTTATGACTTACTTAATGCTTAGCTGATTATAGTTATGCAGTATATGCAGCCCCGGCTCGGCTTTTGTTGGGCGGTTTCTGCTTGAGGTGTCGCCTGCCGCATCGCTGCTTGTCCTCCTCGCTATGGTGCCTATATCCTCGGCGCCATCAATTCCATCGCCGAATTCCCCGGCTCTGGTCCTTATAATTATATATACAACTATTAGCATAAAACAGATGGAGAACATGCTATACGCCGCAGCGTATGACCATGTAGAGCGTCCGTCAACAATGGAAAGCGTAAAGTCTAGCATGGCGAGCGCTTTGTTGTCGTGGGCTTGCACCAGCTGAGTTGTCGCCATACGGTAATGGTTTCTCGCCTGCGGGGTAGTCCCGTTGTCTGATTAAGAAGTCGAGTGGGAGAATGTGTGGTCGGGTAACTGGAAATTGAGACAAACTGAGCTCGTTTAAGCACTTTGGTGTGCGAGGACCTCTCAGAAGGGGGTAGGCAGGTTGAGAAAGAAGAGGATCGTTTAAGGCTCGACCAAAAGCTGGATCTTGGCCAATGCTGGAGCAATAGAGTACGAATGCGTCAGTGTGCCGGCCTTTTCCGTATGGCGAGAGGGGAAAAGCAAAGCAGGCCAGTCGAATATCCTCATCCTCTCGGCCTATTTGAATGGCGGGGTGATTGAATGCAAGCCTG